TCAACTAAAAGAGAAGATCAAGGTTACAAGACTAGCCATTGCTGAGTGGAACAAGAATAGATGCTCAGATAGCAGGCAACAGATTAAAAATATTTCTCTCAAACTGGAAGAAATGAGACAGCTGGGAAGTGGTAAAAACTGGGATGAATGGGAAAGTCTCAAAAGGGAGTTGGAAGAAGCTCAATGCTCAGAAGAGACCTTTTGGCAACAGAAATCTCGAAATTTGTGGCTGAAGGAAGGTGACAAAAACTCCAGGTTCTTCCATGCTGTCACCCTTCAAAGAAGAAAAAAGAATGCTATAACCAGATTGATTGATGAGAGGAACAGAGTTCTAGAATCCAAAGAAGAAATTCAGCAACATCTAACTCACTTTTACCAGAATCTTGTCTCATCAGAAGGATCTGAGGGTCAGGACAGAATTCTTCATTTAATACCTCACTCAATCACTCCTGAAATGAATGGGGATCTTACAGCTGCAGTAGAAGATGATGAAATCAAACAATGCCTGTTCTCAATGAACCCCTTGAAGGCTCCAGGTGAGGAGGGGATGACTGCTTTATTCTACCAGCATTTCTGGCCTGTCTTAAAACATGATCTATGTGCTGCTGTCCAAAGTTTTTTTCACTCAGGAAGGCTGCTCAGGTACTGGAATCATACTCTGGTGACTCTTATTCCAAAATGTGAGAATCCAACATCCTTGCATCAGTACAGACCTATAAGCCTCTGTTCAGTTGTGTACAAGTTAATCTCTAAGATCATTGCAAGTAGATTGAAATTGTGTCTTGATACCTGCATTAGCATTACTCAAGGTGCTTTTATCCCTGGGAGGCAACTCCTAGACAATGTTATCATAGCACATGAGTGCTACCATTATTTGAACAGACACAGGTCAGGTAATCACAACTTTATGGCTTTGAAATTGGATATGATGAAAGCTTATGACCGGGTTGAATGGAAATGCCTCAGTGCTATTATGATACAAATGGGGTTTGATACCAAGTTTGTCCAGTGGGTTATGTTCTGTGTCTCCTCTGCTACATTTTCCTTTATGCTAAATGGAGA